ATTGTTCATAACTTGCTTGAAGGTTTTGTAATTCGTTTTGAAGAGTTTTATGTAAGCCAGCAAGATCTCTTGGAGAGAGAGATGTCAATGGAATTGGCTTTGGGGCTGACATATTTCTTCTTAATAAATGTTAATATTCATTTACAGTTTCTTTTTTTATTATTTGACTATAATAAACTTTATTATCAAATACTATATTTTTCAATTAAAGTTTAACTAATCTTTTAATAAAAACTTATTAATTTAGTATTAATAGAACGTTATATTCTATTATTCATTTTCATATAAATCTATTCATTATAATATTTGTTCAATCTTTATAGAATATTGCTATTGTTTGATACTTACTTTTATTGTTGTGTTTGTTGGTTTGTATGATGTAATTCTTATTTGTTTAATTTGGTTGGAATTCTGTTATTTGATTGGTTAATCTACGTTGTGTCACAATCATGTCATTAAACACAAGAATAAAACTAATAAACAAGAAGATAGAAGAGGTAGAATAGATAGAAAAAAAACAGAAAAAGTCTAAAAACATTAAAATAATCTAAAGAATTGAAACACGGAAAATCATAATGAAAAGACACACTAAGAATACAAAACTACACATGAAGTATAAAGAAGAGAAAGAAGAAATAGAAAGAAGCAAGAAGAATAGAAAGTTAAGAAAGAATAAAAACAAAATAACAAGAAATGAAGAGAAATAAAATTACCATTCACTTATTTTTATCTTTTTGTATTTTCTTCTTTTAAAACAAAAAACTAAAAAATTATGTTTTTGAAGTATTGTTTTGAATAATCTAATAAAAGGTATAAAAGTTCATAAATTATCAAAGACAAGAAGAATAAAGACACAATAAATCATTCAAGTTGAAACAAATTAAAATTGATTAAAAATTATTATAATGTTTTGTCTTTTATTTCCTTGAATATATCAACAATCATTCTTGCAGTAGGTCTTGATTCCATTTCATCTCTCCAACATTTCTTAGTTATATCATAGATTTTTTTTAGTTCATCACTTTTTGGAGCATTCCATCTAGGTCTTTCTTTACCTTGAAAAGCTGCTTTAATCATAGACTCAGTTGTAGTTTTAGGGAATGGATCAGTTCCTTTTGATTCAAAAACAAACCAGATTACTAGTCCAAGACTATAGATATCTGTTTTAGTAGATACCTCTTTACCAAAAACAATTTCTGGAGCAACCCAACAATCAACAGCTCTATTATGACTATAAGGTGGTTGGTCAATAATTGACATTCCAAAGTCACAAATCACAGCCCTTTGATTTCTAACTAAAATGTTTTTAGGTCTAATATCTAAATGAATATACCCTACTCGATGGATATAAGCTAATCCTTTTGATATGTCTGATAATAACACTGTTGACTCTTTTAATGTTAGTTGATTCTCAATAACATAAGCTTCTAAATCATAAGGAAACCAATCAAGAAATATTGCTTCTGGTGTTGGGGTGATTCCAAATATTGAAACAATGAATTCACAAGCACAATTATTAATACACTCAACTTCTTTAACAAAGTCATCTTCATGTTTAAATTTCTTTACTGCAACTTCTTGGTTCAAGAGTTTTCCTTTAAATACTTCACCTTGTGCACCTTTAGAAACAAATTTTAAATCCTTTTTGATTTGGTTCCATTGTCTTTCATTTAGTCGAAACATGGTTGGTTGTCTTGAATTTTATAGATTTTTATTATTCATTTGGTTCACAGAATGATTTACTTAAAAAGAAAAGAGAAAAAGTATTTTATTATAAATTATAATAAATTTATTATAATTATAAAACTTTAAAATAACAAAGAATAAAAAAGTTAAATCAAAATCTTGAAAAAATGAAAAGAATATGAACGCACCAGATTTAAATGAAATTTATGTTATGAAACCAAATGAACAAAAAATTTTGTGTGAAGAGAATGGTCATGTTTGTAAATTTACTTTGGTTAAAGAAGACCATACAGCTGGAAATATTCTTCGTGTTATGTTATTAAGAAATCCTCATGTATTATTTGCGGGATATAGACAACCTCATCCATTAAATTATGTTATTGAAATGACTATTAGAACAGATATGACAATAACTCCTAAACAAGCTTTAGAACAAGCAATGGATGATGTTATTCATGAAATAGAAATAATGCAAAATGAATTTGAAGCTGCATCAGTAGGAATTAATTCATATTAACATTTAATTGATTGTATAACTTTAAAGTATAAAAATATTATTTTATTTGTTTTATATGTAAATTAAAATAAATCTTATTTAATCATCTTTTCTTATTTTACTTTTAGGGAAATATGGATTACTTGGTTTTGGTGGAAGTTCAGGTGCAACTGCTTGATTTAATCTTGTAGTTTCTGATGGACTTTGTGACATTTCTTCTGTAACAATTATCTCTTGTGAATTAGGATTTATTATTTTTTGTTTTTCCATTTCAGCAATTTTATCATTTAAATGAACAATTTGTGTTGATTGATTATTTAATTCTTTCTTTAATGCATCAATTTCATCTTCTAATTAAAATTAATAATTTATTTATTTAGAAGAGACTTTTTATTTCTTATTAAAAAGAATAAAAATTAACAAACGTTGTTTAACATTTTGATATAATGTTTCTTCTAATACACGATGCATTTTTGTTGATAAGTCTTGTGATACATTTTGTGGTAATCCATCAACTGAATATCCTCTCCATAAATAATTCATAAAACTTGCTCTTTTAGTTTGTTCCTGTTTTTCTTTTTCTAATTGTTCATTACTTTTTACAGTTCCAAAATATAAAATATAATTTTTAACTGTTTCACTCTTCCATACATTTAATTGTTCTGATAATTTACTAACTTGTTCTTTTAATGTTTTATTTTCTTCAACAACAATTCGTTTTTCCATTTGTAATTCTCCAATTTTAGCACCAAGTACTTCTAACTCTTTAAGTCCTTCAAAATCCTTTTGTTGTTTTTCTTGTTTAATAATTATTGTCTTTTCTTTTTGTTGCTCACTTTCAAGATCTTTTTGTAATTGTTCAATCTGAGACTTATCACTTTCCAAGATTGCTTCAAGTTCTTGAATACGTTTCTCTTGAGAAGATATTAATGCCTCAAACTTCTTCTTATTTTCATTTGCTTTCGTTGACGCATTCTCTGCTTCTAATGCTCTTACTTTCCATGTTTCTTTAGCTCTCGCTTCTTCTTCTCTTCCTACTCTTTCTTTTAATTCTTTTTCTTCTGCTGCTCGAGCTGCTTTTCTGTTTTCTTCAATCCGTTCTTCAGCTTCAAGTGCTCGTTTAGTTGCTTTTTCAGCTTCAGCTCGTAACTGTTCAATATCACGAGACATAACTTCTGCAAGTCTTTTCTTAACTTGACTAACTTCTGCTTCACATTGTGCAACCTCAACTTTTTTATCACTTTCAATAACTGCAACTTGTTTTTGTAACTTTTCACATTGTATAGACTTCTCTGATAATTGTGAATCAAGTTCTTTACATTTAGTTGAAACATCTCGTAATTTAGCTTCACTTTCCTCATGCATTCCACGAATATAATCATTCTCTGATTTTAACGAATCTATCTGTAATCTTAATGCATTTCTTTCTTTTCTGAGATCTTCTAATTGTTGTTTCATAACAGTCCTTTCTTTTTTTAAATGAGCAACTTCATCAAATCTTTTCTTAGAAGGTGTATTATTTGTTCCATTTTCTTTTTGTTTAGGTTGAACAGGTGTAATATTTTGTTGGTGTTGTTGACCTTCATTCGGAGTAGTGGTTGTTTCTGTCTCTTCAGGACTCGGTTGTGGAGTTGGTTTTTGCTCTCCTTCACTCATTTTTTGTTTTTTAAATCTGAAAAGTTTAAAGTTCTTTCTGGTTTCCGAGTTTCTTTATATTAATTGTTGTATATCTCCTAAAACTGAATGAAAAGCAAAATAAGACAAAGAACCTTTAAAAACAAAAAGATAAAAAATGGAAAAATTGAAAAAAGAAGTTAATGGTTTGAATCAAAAAACAAAAAAATGTTTCAATAAAAATCCTACCAAAAAGAGAAAAAAAGAAAAAGGGTTTTGATATTTATGACAAATAACTAATAAAGAATAATAAATTTTGTTTTTAGAAACTAAAAAATATAAGTATGCAAAACAACGATAAAACTACTGAGTCGAAGATAATTGAGATTAATGTCAACAAATCTATGGACGAGGAGAATAGACAAGACAACGAAAGACATTCTATTGTTCAAAAGGCTATAGAAGAAATTGACTTAAATACACCAACACAACAGGTAGAAGAAGAAATTAAAGAAGAGGAACAACAAAAACAAGGAAATGAAATTCCACTAGAACCAATTGAACATGGTTTAAATGAAGATTCTTACATCAATTTTTCACCATTTTGGAAAAAGAAAGATGGGACAAAAATACCTGAAGGTACTAAGGCTGTTCTTAAATTAAATTTCTTGAATGAAGTAACAGAATATCTTAAAGTTAATGAACCAAAAAAATCAATTTTACCACGGTTGCCACTAACTAGAAGACCAAGGAATAAAATATTATATGGATCGACGTTAGGAAGTATTAGTGAAATACCAAAGATTAATAAAAATAAAAAAGAAAAAAAGCCAAGAAAAGATTGTATTTGTGGACTTGATACTTTAAAAGAAGAGACAAGAATTAAAATTTTAATGTTGTTAAAAAATATCACTAAATGTAATGATCATCAATTAGCTCAAATCATTGATTTTTCTAATCGTCTTGTTAGTGTTAATAATGGGATTATTACTAATGACCATTTATTAACACAAGAAGATCATCAGATAGATACAGTAGATTTAGAACAACAAATGCCTCCAATGATTGAAACACATCCTGATATTCATAATGAATCTCAAAAAGACAAAGCTGATCAAATTTCACATCCACTCAATTAATTTTTTTGTTCACTGAATATTTAATGTTTTATTGTTTAAAACTTAATAACTATTTTTTTTTAATTTTATATTTCCTCTTTTTGTTTTATTTCATCATAAAAAACAACTTCATCCATTTTTGACTGTTCATTTATTTTCTCGTTTTTACATTGATCTTTTATATTATTACATTGATTTATTTCTTCTTTTGTATTAATTGTTACTATTTGAGTTTCTTCTTTAGGCTTTTGTATAGATGAAGTTAAACAAGGTTGTGAATGTTGTTCCGTGTGTTGAATTAATTCATTTGTTTGTTGAACTGAATCCATGTCTATATGAATTACTATTGATTTATTTTGATTTATAAGTTGTTCCCATAATTTTCTTCGTTCAAAGAATACATCAGGTAAGCAAATAATTCTTTTTAATAAAGAGTGTTCTGGGTCATATTTTTTTAGATGAGTGTAATGTAATGCGTTGTAACTCATTTTAAATAAATATTTAATGTACTGCCATCTAAATGACGTGACACTTACATCATTTGAAAGATCACATGGGTCTTCAATTGATAAATTAGAAATCTTAGAATCCCAATTTCTTTCACTTCTATTAAACTTTCCTTCAAATACACTTAAACCTTCTATATCACTTCTAAAATCAATTCCATAATATTTTAAGAATCCCTTTAATAATTCTCCATAGTCATGTGTTGTAATAATATTATTATTAATATAACAATACACCATTACAAATACTGAATATGTTCCAAGACCTCCATTAGCTGGTTGATGGAAATCATAACAACAAAGTATTGATTTAATAAGAAGTACTAATTTTCTAATTCTGTCATCCTTTTTTATAACTTCTTCAATAAAATTTACTGTTTTTGTTCCACTAGTATTATTATGTGATATGTCTAATACAATTAATGTTTTTTTATCTGTAAGTTTTAAAACTGGAATTGATGCTTTAAAATTTCTTTTTTGGTCTTCAAGGACATAAGATGAAAGAATAGATGAAACTGAATTTAATACTTTTCTTGTGTTATATTCATTTGTTAGAACTGAAAAATCTATATCACTTGTTGGTAAAAACAATTTTGATTGTGTTGACCCAAATGCCATTACATTGTAACCCTCTTTTTCAAGTATTTTTGAGTATTTTGTTAAAAGTTCTTCTCTTATTTTATATTCATTTTTATTTGGTTCAATAAATTTAATAAATAATTGGACTTCTTGATTTAGATCTAATTCTCCTTCAAAGGATTTTAGCCATTGAGGAACGTTCATTAAAGAATTATTGGATGAAAATGTCTTTAGTTTTTTACATATTTATTTTTCGTTTATAAAACAAAATTAAAACTTAAAAGAAAAACTTAAAACAAAGAATAAATCTCTTAGAATGATTGCGTTATATCTCATCATATTCGTAGGTGTTCATGCTCAATTTCCTCATATAAAATATAATATTGAATGGGAGAATCGATGTTATAAGGTTTGTTTTTTTTTAAATTACCTATTTGATTAATCAACATAAACAAAAGATAAGTTCTGTAAAGTTCTGTAAGAAAAAAAGTATTAACATATTCGTAGCTCCCACCTGGAGTATTATATAATGTTACGATGAATGGTAAAAAGTTTGTTTTTTGTAATTGATATTAAATATTGTATTAACAGAAATGAAAAGGTTTATAACATAGATATCAATGTAGTATCCCTGAACCTAAAAATCAAACTATGTCAAATGAAGAACAATTAATAAAACTAGAAAGTGAGTTAACAAATTGTTATTCATATAATAATGGGTATTATGTGTATGTTCTTTGTCCAGGAAAAAATGTTACACAAACTAGAGTATTGAATGGATTTACTTTAGAACGGAATATCCTTGGACAAAGAGTTGATTTTATCAACTTTGATAATAATTCAATTCAAGAAGGATATGTTGATGGAAATTATTGTTTAGGAAAAAAAGGAAATAGAAAAACTGTTGTTGAATATAACTGTTTAATAGAGAATGTTACAGCACCAATGGTAATAAGTATAAGCGAAGTGGATTGTATATATTATATTAAATGGCAAATTCCAGCGTTATGTAAACATCAAGTATTTGTTGATTGGAATTTACCAAATTCTATTAGGTGTTGTGCTGATGTTATTCAAGAAAGTGAGACAATTAGAAAAGAAATACAGGAAAATGATGTACAAAAAAATACTGAAGTAATGAATAAAGAGATAAAACAGTTAATAAAATAAAAAGTTAAACAATTAAATAATTAAAGGTTCTTTTTAATTAAATTGATTTTTTTTCATTTAGACGAAGAGTAGATAAAAGATGAAATAAAGAAGGATTAGGAGAATTTTCAATCAGAGACAAAAAGTCATTACACAAATCTTCAATATTTGCTTTATCTTTATTGGGAAGTAATTGACGTTGCACTACTACCCTTCGTTTAAATTCACATTGTTCACATTCACAATCATCATCATGACCTTCGTCATCATCATCTCCTTCTCGGTATAAAGGATTCATATATTTTAATTCTCTTGTTTGTTCAATTAATCTTTCTTGTTTTTCTAAGTGGTGAAGTTTTTTCAATTCATCGCCATAGAAATAAAGTGATTGAAGAAGATGAAGAATTGAACTTTTAAAATAAGAGAGTTGAGAAGGATGGATGTTATTTAATTGTGAAATGTTAAAGTAATATTCAATAGAATTTATAGTCATTGTAAAGAAATAAGATAAATTTTCATAGAAGTATAATACAAGGAACATTCCAATACAAATATATTGATTGTCAATTGAATAGAATTGGTTTGAATTGAAATAAAGATATTCAATCAAATAGTAAAAACAAAACACATTAATTGATTCTATTAATGTATATTTAACTGATTTATCAAAGTTATTATTTATATTAAAGATTATATAACTTTTAATTTCTTCTTTTGAACAATGTTCAATAAATTGTTTTCCAATCAGTAATGTTTTTTGTTCTTCAATCCCACAAAATGAAATTGCCATATAATCATTTACATAAATATTTTTTAAAGAGATATGATATTCTTTACATGTCTCTTCAATCATTGATTTAATCTCTTCATTTTCTAGTTGTTGATTAGATTGTTGTGGAAGGACAATATGAATTAAAATGATATTTGTAATAAAGTAATAACAACAGTTGATTATTGTTAATAAAATATACATTCCATGGAAAGAAAAATAATATAATATAAATAAAATACAAATATTGGTAATGATATTTAAACTAAATTTCCCAAAGTAACTTGCAATTTGAGTTACCATTGGTTCTTTGTAGTTGTTAACATACTTGACTAATACTCTTGTAAACAAAACAGGAAGTCCAATAACAAAATTAATAAAAGACATCACTACAATAAAAACGTGATTAGTTAATAAATCATTTCCAAATTTTACTTTTTTAAAAATAAACCCAACAAATGGGGTTATAATCACACCAAATGTAATAATGAGATAATAAATCTGAATCCAAAATTCACTGCGTAAAATTCTTTCTTTATTTTCAGTCATTCTTTTTATTTCTTTTTCTTTCATAAATAATGTACTTTCCTTTTGTATTTGAAGATTTTTATACCACTTAAACCCAAAAATTGTTTTAATTATTTGACAAAAACACCCTCCAATTCCTATTGAATAAATATAATTATTTATTTCATTACTGAAAATTTACCAAACCAATGATATAAATGATGATGTCACAAAGCTTTATCTCCATTATTTGATTTTTTTTTTAGTACTATCCTTTTTTATTCTTTCAAAAAATAATTCCTTTTGATTTTTACATCAACTTTTTATATTCATTTCTACTCTAATGAATGGTTTATTTTCTTGCAAACTATTGCTTCAATAGGTTCAATAAAACATGAATAATAAAGAAAAGAAGAATTTAAAGAGATAAAGAAAAGAAACATTCAAAAGAAGAAATAAAGAAATAGGATAAAATGATATAAAAAATAAGCAATTAATTAAGTATTAATAGAACTAGCTTCTGTTCTTCCTGGCTCAGGGGAGACTAATCTCAATGAGTCTTCTTCTTCAAGCAGCTCTACTGAGTATATTTGGTTGTGATCTCCGCAGTATTCCATAACATTAATCATGTTTTTTATGACAAGGTTTTTTACTTCTTTCTCGATGTCAATATCAATTTTTAATTCTTTAATTAATTTATTACTTTCTTTATTTATTAATCCATTTATTGAAATTATTACTGGTATTGTTTTGACTTATTTTAACTTTTCTATTTTTATTAGAATATTCTTTAATTCCTTATACTTATTTATTTTCTTCCAATAGGCTCCATTAATATTGTGATCAGCCACAATAGTCATATCAAATAATAAACAAGTTTTATTCTTTTTATCTAATACATATATGTCTGGTATTTTGTGATATTATCATTCACTTTTAGGCATTATTTGTTTGTTCCATATCATAGTGATGTCTTTATATTTGAACATTGTTTCATATGAAGTATTTTTTATATTGTTTATTTCCAGTGTATTTTCTTATTAATCCCTCCCATATTGAAATGTCAATATTGTCATGTTTTTCCATTTGTGATTTATTATGATAAATACAAGATAGTAAGATGTGTTCTACTGTAGCTATCTTGTCTTTACATAGTGGGCAGTATTTTAATCTTTCATTTTTCATTATTTTTGCTTTCTTATACCCACAAAATATTGCTCCATCTTGCATTTTAGTTAATTGGAGAAATGCATTTTTCTTAATATTGATGGACTTCCATGGTTTCACTGTAATAGTTTTATCTACTCCTTTTGACTCGAACCATCTTCTAAAGTGTCCACTTATTTGATGACACTTCTATATTTTGATGTATTTATCATTAATTTCTTTATTTCTACTACTACTTCTTTTTCTTTTTGCTTTTCTATCCCTTCATTTATTATTTCTTCTATTTTTGTTTCATTTATTTTATGACTTAATGTTTTTAATTCTATTCAATATTCCATTCTTACTGTACCATCTATCTATTATGTTATTTCTTATTTCACTTTCTCTGGTACAATAACACTTTACTGTTCTAATTAATTCAATAACATATTCGTCCATTATGTTTATTAATCCTTCACCCATTTCTTCTATAATTACATATAGACAGTTTTTGGAGTTTCACCAACGTATTTTGCCTTTCTTAAATATTTTCTTATTTCCAAATCAATTTTGTCTAAGTTACTTTCAAATTTACAACTGATGCTGAATATCTGAAGATATTGATTACTTCCATGTTTATTCTAGTAATATATATTCTATTACTACTTTCATCAGTGTTTATTTCTTCCATCTTCTGATTCATTTTTTCTTTGATGGTTTTACAATTGAAGGTGTCATCAATTTCGTCGGACTGCCATATTCCTAAATATTTATACAAGTCCTCACCTTCAACTACGGGGATGTTTTGCATTCCATCTGGTATTTTCTTAATGTTTTTTTAATACCATTCATGATTTTTTCTCATTCATTTCCATCAATATGTAACTTATTATTTCTTTAATTTCATTGTGGATTATTCCCATTTCTTCACTACTTTGTGTCACTATTCTCAAATCATCAATATATAATGTGTGATTTGTTTTTGGGAATTTCTCTTCGATGAATTGAGAAATTACATTCATCTGTATGATGAAGAGTAGATTTGATAAGGAATCACTTGTAAAATTCCTCTATTTAATTTAATATATCCTAGATATTCATTATATTTATAACCGATGAATATCTTCCATCTAGTCATTATACTTTCAATTATGTCAATGATGACACACTCATAATTAAAATATTTTAATGTTTCAATTACCCATTCGTGGTTTACTGTGTCATATGTTTTCTTAATGTCATAATATGACTTAACATATTTTGGGTATTTCTCTTCTTTCTGCTGCTTCATCATATAACTATTAATTATTCCTTCTTTAGCAGCTAAAGATTGTAACTTACATCCCAGTTGATTTTTACTAATTTTAAATGATTCACAATTCATGTTAAGTCTCATGTGAATCTTTTCTTTTAATATGGAGGTAAATACTTTCATAATTACATTTGTACAACTGATATGACGATAATTAGTGACGTCGTTCCTATCACTTTGTGGATTAATAAAGTTCTTCCACTTACCATGTCTAATTTGATGTTTTCGTAGAAGTTCAACCATTCATTGAAGATGTTGAGAATGATTTCTCTTGATGATGACATCCTTTTCCAATAATACAAATATATAATGTCTATTCCT